GGTTTTCCTGGCGTCCCCCTCCACCGCCGGCTCGCCCCCTGAGGAGGGGGCTGGGCCGGGGCCTCCAACGGCCAGGAAGAAGGGGAGCAAGGAAAAACATGCGTCACAGCCGTGTGTCACTGGGCCGCATTGCAATTCACTGCACCACGGGAAGTGTGGAAGGCCGCCTCAGGGACCAGGGGCGGGGAGGTGCAGGCCCGGCCTGCAGGGCGCGCCTGACAGCGCCCTTTCTTCTCCCACCGCCCTCCCCGCCATATTCCCAGTTTGGCTTCCTTCTCGTTTGTACAGGTCTTTGTTGCGCCGGGCGTGGCGGGTACGGCGTGCATAGATCCAGTTCCTGCCCTCAAAGTGCTTCTAGGCGACCACCGGCTAACGCTTTCTTATTTTTAAAAAAAGCCACAGCGGAAGGGGCCAGGATACCACGAGGGATCCCTGGTCTCCAAAACACCATCCGGGTCACCTAAAGAAATGAACCCTCCCTCAGGTTTACCTGCAAAGGAGCCAATCGTTTGCCTCGCTTGAAGGCTGCACCTTGATTATGGTTCACACGGGCCCATTAATAAATTTAAACCCTGGATTTCACAAGTTTCACGTTTGAATTTCACAAGACCTGCATTTCACCAGTCAGCCACACGCGGGTTGGGACCGAAATGCACATGCTGACACCTGTCCGCCCAGGGAAAATCTAGGAGCCGCGTACCTAGGTGAAGGGAGCGGCGGGTAGGCCGCGAAATTCTCCAACCGGCGCGTTTCTCTCCACCCTTGCCGCCCGCACGGACCCCCGCAAGCACCAACACCCGCCCACATCCACGCGCCCCGCGGGCGCCAAGCCCACACACCCGGAAGGCCCCAAGAGGTGACTCTCCCGGGGACCCCCATTCCATGCAGTAAGGACGCCCTCTTCCCCCCCGAAGGACTCCTTGGTGACCCCTCTAAACATCTCCCCACGTCTCCCCGCCGGGACTGTGGGAAGTGGGCCGTGGCCTCGGGTTCCCAGCCCAGGCCTCCCGCGCGCGCCCGCCCCCAGAAGCCCGACACCGCTCGCCCCTCCCCACACTCAACACCCACCCGCGCGGCGGCAGCGGCTGGCGGGCGGCCGCCCTTTTAAATCCCCGGGCTCATTTGCATGGCCCCGCCCCCTCAGTGACACGGCTGGCGCGGGCGGGCCCGTCCCCCCTGCCCCTGGGTCGCTCTTTTTAAGCTCCCCTGAGCCGGGGCTGCGCTTCTCTAATTGGGACTCCGAGCCCGGGCTATTTCTGGCCCTGGCGCGGCTCCAAGAAGGCGTGAGTTCGCGGCCCCTTCGGTGGCTCCTTTTTTTTATATCTATCATTTAATTAAATTATTTATTTATTGAGGCCGCGCACGGGCCGTGCCTAGCTTCCTGCCCCTCGCCATCCTTCGGGGGAGGGGGAATATTTTTGTCCCCCCGCCTGGATGTGACATATAAATACCCCGCGGGGGCCTGGGCGGCGAGCACGCGGCGGCGGCGGTCTCTGAGCGCCTCTGCTCTCTCTCCCGGTTTCAGATCCGCATTTGCTACCAGCGGCGGCGGCGGCGGAGCCAGGCCGGTCCTCAGCGCCCAGCACCGTCGCTCCCGGCAGCCCGGAGCGCGCACCGCAGGCCGGCGGCCGAGCTCGCGGTGAGTCGTCCCCGGGGCCCGCGGCGGCGGCGGCGGAGGGGGGCGCCCGCGCCCCCGCTGCACGCCGCCCCTCCTGCGAGCAGCCCGGGGCTGCAGCGCGCGCCTCCGGCTTTATTCCCAGGC